CAAAAAATAATCCAAATCATATACAAGATTCATGTATATCTCACAAAAATAATCCAAATCATATTCATGTATGAGTTCCAAGACTATGTAAAGGAGGAAAAGAACTCACTTCCGCCATAGGAGGTGGTGGTGCCATGACCGGGACATAGGATGGCACCATATGCCTTGAAGAAGACTCTCCAATTTCAAAATCCGGATTCTTGAGAGTTACATCCCTATGATAATAAAGATTCTTAAGATACTTATCAACAAACTCACACAATTCACGACGATCTTTATTGTTCATGTCGGGGTCTCCCATCTTCCCTCCTTCAAGACACTTGAACATGGCTTCCTTAAGGCGAATCTCCTTGTTATCTTCAACCATTCTACGTTCTTGTTTCTTGGCTTTTTCGATACATTGGTTGAGAAAATCCTTTTGGTTCATCATAATCCTTTTCGTCGCTGTCTCCGTATCTACCCTCTTGATCACATCGCTCACCTCTGGTTCTGATGGCCACACGTCTGGAGTTGGTTTTTCTGGATCGTAGATGACTGCACATGCATCAACACCGCACAAAGTCTTGATCTCACTGAGTTTTTTCTTTAACCCGTCTCCCCTACGCCTGAGTGTTGTTCTCCTAATCGAATCATTGGATATGTAAGCTAGCTTAAGTTTTCTTCTTTTTCCCATGACTACACTAAAGAGATGTGGTTTTTTTCATTACAATGTAGATACAAGACATATCTTTATACTGAAGTGAAAAGGTCCACATATTGGTTGTCACTTGTCAAGTTGGTGACTAAAATTAATTATAAAAAATTAGTATTCCAAATTTGAGTTAATTTTATTAACTAGCTTAATGTATTACAATAATTGTGTATTTATTATTGAGATAACAAGTGTTAATTGTGAAGTTAACTTTCACTTTAAAAACGCGTTCGAAACGGTTATTCAAAAAAAGGTGTTAATTACAAACGAAACCTCCACCACTAAGAGACAAAAACAACATTTAATATGGTCAATCCGGTTTGATTTTTTTGGTTAAGGTGTTTTTTTTTCCACCTCACACACTAAAACAAATTAAAAATCATACAAATTAAATTGTGCTTTTGTTAGTTGTTAAACTAAATCTTATTAGGATTGGCCCAATAATACCATACCCTTTATGCTTTCAAAAGGATACTAGAACTAGTACCCCAAATAAATTGAGGTCAGAAATTATTTATTTTTGAAAAGAAACAACTAAAACAAGTTGAATTGAACTTGTCACCACAAGCCCAATAAGCTTCCTAAATGTTGATTCATGACATGGTTCTCGACCTTACAATACTTTTATCTTTGGAGTTCTTGTAAGAATCTTAAATACTTTTATGCAATTTAATCTTGTTGTCTTTTAGTTTTGTCTTATGCTTTTCTCTAATCATGTTCTTACAAAGATCAAACTCACTGTTTTGTATTTTCATGATCATGAGTGAGTAGTTTTTTTAGAGTTCTTGGGTTAAGGTAGATTAGGGTGATTTAGATGGTGGGTAATGGAGTTTAGGGCTAGATTGTTTAGGATCCTCACTCACTGGTTGCAAAAAAGGCTAGATCAATCTTGGTCCTCTTGGTTTAGAACTTTTGAATTCCATGCCTAGAAGGTGTTCGATGAAATTCCCGGACCAAAACCTTTAAGTGATTTTCATCTATTACCCTTAGAAATAGCTGACGAGGTGTATTAGTGACTATATATATTTGTTTATATTATTGATTATTTGATTGTCTTCAGAAGAAGTTGATGAATGATTGATTAGTAAAGAGATTAGTGTCATGGAATTGAGTTAGTCTTGCTTAGTGTTCTATGGCCTAAGAATTAATACTTGTTGGAAGTTGTATCTCTTTCTCTTTAATCAATTTCTTTGACCTGGGATTTGTCTTTTATCTTATGTTTAGTATCTTTGTAGTCTCTCGTTTGTTTAATTTCAAATCTTGTTAGATTTTTTGCAGCTAACATAAGAGACAAGAACTTGTTTGCTCTGCACTTGCTCTTGAACAAAGTGATAATCAAGAGCAAAATGCTTCATTTCGAGAGTGAAAACCCCGGATGTGCAAACTGGAAAGTTGCACCAATGTTGAGCTCACTCTCATAAGAGAAAGAATGAAGAATAAAGAGAAGAAGAGGAAAGCGTCAAGAAATTTAGGGTTTTGCATCAGATTAGCTCTCATGCCATATAAAGTGATTGTGAAGTGTGAACTGATACTTTATTAATCACATAAAGGTTCATATATCTCTACACAACGTGTAGAAGATTAAAACTATAGATACGAAAAGATCTTTATAGATATACAACACTACCATATCCATACTATCACTTGTAAATTTGGTTGACTATGTTAGGAAAGCCTAACACAATGACAATGAACCGAGAAAGACACATACCCGAAACTCTTTTTATATGGAAATTAGCAAAATCATCATATAATATAGTCCAGAAATTGAAATAGGAAGAGGTTTAGATTACATAATTAAACTGGATAAACTAAAAATATAAGACATAACCACAAATCAAAGATTTGTGACTGAGAGAGAAGTCATGAGAACAACATCATCTGTAAAGACGAAAG